CATCTTCCAAGGCTATTCATTTTGTTAATTCCTGTACCTAGGTTTGATTTCGATGGGTTAACTGACGTTCAGTTAGCTGATGGTGGTGTTGGGAATGTCGAAATGTACGTAGTAAAATGCGATGGAAAATAAACTTTTTGAGCCTGAGGCCTCGACGGTAAGGACGATTGTTGTGGGCAGCAAGAAATCTTCCTCCATCTTAGGTCATGGTGATAAATATGGCCAGATATTTCCTGATACTGTCACCCTTCACCGTGGACAAGTGGTTACTAAACTTGTTTTCATAGTAACTGGGTTAATTGGTATGAATATATACCTTATTACTCTAGACTCATCACTGTGTGTGTACTCGTGACAGTGGACCAAACCTGTGCTTGCTGTTGCTGCTTGGCACTGCTCGCTCTGCTGTGTGGTGGGAGCTGTGACCACGCCCATGGCAGAAAGGAGATAAAAGTGGGAAGGCGTGAGCCATCCTGCTAGCATTGTGAGGGATAGGACACCCCTGGTGGACGCCCTGGGGAGCCATGGACGCCCCATTATAGTAATGAGGTCCCTGGACACGCGGCTGGGCGGGGTCTCCACCTCTTTGTTGACGAGGAAGGGCAGGCTGAGCTCCAATATCATGGTGTTTTACAATACCAGTCTCTCGATGCTGTACTCCGGACGGGAGAGAGGGACAGGTTAGGAGTTTCCGTGCTTCTGCCCTACTGCCTCCATCTTTGCCGCAGCTGCATGGCAGGAAGGCTTTCTCTGTTGCAACTGCATGACAGGAAAGCAAGGCACATGCACATATATTAAAGTTTCATGCCACCTTTTGCATTTACCCCTGACAGCAAAAGGCAAGAGTACTTAATTAGCCCTCTTTATTGCTAATAGTTTTCAGCATTGTCCCAATCTATTGCCGGCATTTGGCTGGGTTGTGTTTGAAGGCCTGGAGAAAACAGTTTTCGGCTTTGTGCCATACAGTACACATCACGATGAGTCTTGAGTGATGCGAGCATCACCCAGTGTACTCATGTGCTCCAGTGACGTGTGTAAGAGAGTACCCAAACTCATTTAAGCATTATTAGTGGACTTTCTGAACTTTGGCTGGGACCTGCACTCTTGGTAATAAACTTTGACTTCGAGGATATTGTCACTGCTCTGTTTGTCAGCATAGTTGCTGATCCCTGTGTTATATAGCATAGCATATTAGTATCATCCATGTGCTTTAGATAGGAGATCCCTTTTAGGCCTGTGACTTGTGTGACGTCACGGGATGTGCATGTGTACGGTCGTACCTCTGCCTCCCTCTCAGACGGCGTGTAGACCTACAGGCGAAGACAGGCAGAGGTTGGGCTCCACATTCATCATCACAGTCCGACAATATATGTTACCATCCAACAAGGGTGTCTACCTTCAACCCTCGATATCTCCATTAAGAACCCCTACGATATGTTAAGAGAGTGAATGTTAGCTATAATAATTGATAACCGCTTAACATTCCGCAGGTCATAAGTAAATAGGCATCCTACTCTGATCTCTTCATGAATGCATAGTTATCAAACCCTCAGGTACAGTTAATACACTTGAGGGGTTGGGTAAAAGTTCTCTTCTTGCCTTGTTCATTAAGTAGATTGCAATCCTAATCTTGTGCAAGGAAGGTAGGGACCGGATTTATATACGGTTGGTGTAGGGCAAGTAGGGTGAGCAGTAATCTCCTGAGCTGGTCGAGTGTCACTGTCTACACCAATTATGCTGGAATATTCAGCTTGGTAATGAACAAGGAACCAGGTGTCATTGACATCAAACTGGTAAGTAGACAACCAGGTGTACTATAGACAGCCACCGGTAGATGTGCACTATTTACATAATAGAGCACATGGAAAGGTTGGCAGGCTCTAGGTGTATAGACTAACATGGTTATCAAAGTCAGTCAGGTGTACACACAATCCTCCACAGAATGCAATGTGAGGAGAGGGTGAAAGAAATGAACTTGTTAACCTTATAGAGAGGGAAAAGGAGGGACAGGATTACTACACGTAAAGTCTTTGGTGGAATTGATAGGGACAGATTGTTTGAATTAAGAGAAGCAGGATTAAGGAGATACATGGAAGCTGAAGACGCAGATGAGCCATAGGGATGTAAGGAGGTATTTCTTTAGTCTTATGGATGAGACAGTGGTACAGCCAGGTCAATAAACAACTGCTGGAGTAGATATGATAAGGCACAAAAGGCTAGGAGTCAGTGATGCTGATCAAGGTGCTCTAGGAGTCGGGGCCAGGAGCTAAGTGTCGACCCCCGCAAAGCTCAAATTGGTCAGTACACACACACACGCACCTCACTCAAGGAAAAAGATCTTGGGGCGAGTATAACACCAGGCACATCTCCTGAAGCGCACATCAACCAAATAACTGCTGCAGCATATGGGCGCCTAGCAAACCTCAGAACAGCATTCCGACATCTTAATAAGGAATCATTCAGGACCCTGTACACCGTGTACGTTAGGCCCATATTGGAGTATGCGGCACCAGTTTGGAACCCACACCTAGCCAAGCACGTAAAGAAACTAGAGAGAGTGCAAAGGTTTGCAACAAGACTAGTCCCAGAGCTAAGAGTTATGTCCTACGAGGAGAGGTTAAGGGAAATCAACCTGACGACACTGGAGGACAGGAGAGATAGGGGGGACATGATAACGACATACAAAATACTGAGAGGAATTGACAAGGTGGACAAGGACAGGATGTTCCAGAGGTTGGACACAGTAACAAGGGGACACAGTTGGAAGCTGAAGACACAGATGAATCACAGGGATGTTAGGAAGTATTTCTTCAGCCACAGAGTAGTCAGTAAGTGGAATAGTTTGGGAAGCGATGTAGTGGAGGCAGGATCCATACATAGCTTTAAGCAGAGGTATGATAAAGCTCACGGCTCAGGGAGAGTGACCTAGTAGCAATCAGTGAAGAGGCGGGGCCAGGAGCTCGGACTCGTCCCCTGCAACCTCAACTAGGTGAGTACAACTAGGTGAGTACACACACACACACACACACACACACACACACACACACACACACACACACACACACACACACACACACACACACACACACACACACACACATATAACCAAGGAGGAGGTGAAGAAGCTGCTATGCGAACTTGACACCTCAAAGGCGGTGGGACCAGACAACATCTCTCCATGGGTCCTTAAAGAGGGAGCAGAGATATTGTGTGAGCCATTAACAAAGATCTTCAACACATCATTTGAAACTGGGCAACTCCCTGAGGTATGGAAAATGGCAAATGTAGTCCCAATTTTTAAAAAGGGAGACAGACATGAGGCACTAAACTACAGACCTGTATCTCTAACGTGTATAGTATGCAAGGTCATGGAGAAGATCATCAGGAGGAAAGTGGTGGGGCACCTGGAAAGAAACAAGTGTATAATTGACAACCAGCACGGTTTCAGGGAAGGAAAATCCTGTGTCACAAACCTACTAGAGTTTTATGACAAGGTGACAGAAGTAAGACAAGAGAGAGAGGGGTGGATCGACTGCGTATTTTTGGACTGCAAGAAGGCTTTCGACACAGTTCCTCACAAGAGGTTACTGCAAAAGCTAGAGGACCAGGCACACATAACAGGAAAGGCACTGCAATGGATCAGAGAATATCTGACAGGGAGGAAACAACGAGTCATGGTACGCGACGAGGTGTCAGAGTGGGCCCTGTGACAAGCGGGGTTCCACAGGGGTCAGTCCTAGGACCTGTGCTGTTCTTGGTATACGTGAACGACATAACGGAAGGGATAGACTCAGAAGTGTCCTTGTTTGCAGACGATGTGAAGTTAATGAGAAGAATCGAATCGGACGAGGATCAGGCAGGACTACAAAGAGATCTGGACAGGCTACAAGCCTGGTCCAGCAACTGGCTCCTTGAATTTAACCCTGCCAAATGCAAAGTCATGAAGATTGGGGAAGGGCAAAGAAGACCGCAGACACAATATAGTTTAGATGGCCAAAGACTGCAAACCTCACTAAAGGAAAAAGATCTGGGGGTGAGTATAACACCGAGCATATCTCCTGAGGCTCACATCAATCAGATAACTGCTGCAGCATACGGGCGCCTGGCAAACCTACGGATAGCGTTCCGATACCTCAGTAAGGATTCGTTTAAGACTCTGTACACCATCTACGTCAGGCCCATACTGGAGTATGCAGCACCAGTTTGGAATCCACACCTAGTCAAGCACGTCAAGAAATTAGAGAAAGTGCAAAGGTTTGCAACAAGACTAGTCCCAGAGCTACGGGGATTGTCCTATGAAGAAAGGTTGAGGGAAATCGGCCTGACGACACTGGAGGCCAGGAGGGTCGGGGGAGACATGATAACGACATATAAAATACTGCGCGGAATAGACGAGGTGGACAAAGACGGGATGTTCCAGAGATGGGACACAGACACAAGAGGTCACAATTGGAAGTTGAAGACTCAGATGAATCAAAGGGATGTTAGGAAGTATTTCTTCAGTCATAGAGTAGTCAGGCCATGGAATAGCCTAGAAAGTGATGTGATGGAGGCAGGAACCATACATAGTTTTAAGGCGAGGTATGATAGAGCTCATGGGGCAGGGAGAGAGAGGACCTAGTAGCAATCAGCGAAGAGGCGGGGCCAGGAGCTGTGACTCGACCCCTGCAACCACAAATAGGTGAGTACAAATAGGTGAGTACACACACACACACACACACACACACACACACACACACACACACACACACACACACACACACAAATAATGTCTTCGTCAAAATCTTATAACAGTAATGCCATACTGTCCAATCTACCCGGCTAGACAGAGCTTGACTCCAGCACACGCATTTCAACACCTCACTTTCCAGGCTGATCGGAGCGTAAGGTTTTTGAGGCGTTTTAAGCTGGGCCGCGAAATTTGAATGCCGCCAACTTGAGTTACGATGACTGTAGGTCGTGTCTGGAAGTAATTTACTCGAGGCTGCTGTTGGTGTGTTAGTTGGTGTCTGTACAGGGCAGGGTCAGGAGCGCCCTCACACCCACAACACCGGTGCTCTCATACGCGCTATACGGCAGGGAGTACACGTTTACTACGCCAGCCGCACTCATAATACGCCAAACATTAAATGTAGTAATGATCGATTCATTGAGTCCTGTTTAGATCTGTACATTATAAATGTTTTGAGTGTAGCGATAAATGCGTATGTGGCTGGTGGGAGAGCCTAGTGACGCCACTGTCCCTTGATAAGTGTGTAAGACACTCCTCCCTTGTACAGTGAGCCCCCCTTCCCTCCCTCACCCCTGCTTTGAGACCTTCCCTCCATCCATCTCTCCTTCCTCCCCTCCCCTCTCTCTCTCAATCCCACCCACCATCCCCAGTGCGTGAGTGGACCGCGTGCCACACCACATCCCTTCTCGTAAACACTGGCGGACGAACACTCGTGGAAAAGACCAAGCGGAGTGAAAAGTTTTATTCCTGCGTTGCTGGGTAACATGGTCTTTATAGGGCTGGACGGAGAGGCGACAACGAGGTGAGTTTTCCTTATTTACGTAGGTTATTACCAGTTTCTAATTACCTATTCTAGCTTTGGAAAGGGATGAGCTTCAGCTATTGAGCCTCTCTTAACGTTGTTGCATTTCCCGTATGTATGGCCTGGTCCAAGGCCGGGCTACTGTAGTAAAAAAAAAAAATCATCAAAGATATGTCTTTTATCCTGTCCAGCAGTCACTTCTACATTTCTACTACATTACCTTAAAGAAAAGCTTTCCAACATTTACCAAGCTTTTTTAACGGTTTAACTTCCATTCATGTTATCTGTTGGGTAGACACATTTCCAGCGCTTAGGATATTTATTGAGGAACTGTTTCACCCCTAGGAACTTTGCCAATATAGTTTATAGTGTTAAAATAGTGGAGAAAGGTGGGGTGAGGCAAAGAGAGGGAGAGGTCAGGTCAAGTAGCGATAGTGTGTGGTGCGAGGGTGGGGCCACGGTATTACCTGACAGCTGTGTCTTGGAGATAAAATCATCTTGGTGAGTACCTTAGAAGAATTTCGAGTTTCACTATGGCCGGGCACCGAGAGTAGTGAGTAGTGCACCACTGTGTTAGAACTCCAGAGATGTTGAACCCCTTCTGTGTCTTGTATCACTGTGTTAGCTACTGTTGTCATGGCTGCCTCTGAAAACACTAACAGACTAGCGGCTTCCCATTTCATGAGGTACTTGAACGCTTCCCTCCATAGGAAGTGAGCGAAACGTTTCGTTACACACGTGTCATAAGCATAAGAACATAAGAAAGGAGGAACACTGCAGGAGGCCTGTTGGCCCATACTAGGCAGGTCCTTTGCAATTCATCCCACTAACAACACATTTGCCCAACCCAATTTTCAATGCCACCCAAGAAATAAGCTCTGATGTGAAAGTCCCACTCAAATCCAACCCCTCCCACTCATGTACTTATAAGAACATAAGAAGAACATAAGAACGAAGGAACACTGCAGAAGGCCTACTGGCCCATGTGAGGCAGGTCCAAGTCTCCTACCGGCTTAAGCCAAAGCACCCAACCTAGTCAGGTCAGGTCACATTGACTTAAGGGAGGAACACGGCAACCGACCTGTTAGCACAAGCTATCAGGTCTAACTCACACCCACCCACATCTACTCATGTATTTATCCAACCTATTTTTAAAGCTACACAACGTTCTGGCCTCTATAACGGTACTTGGGAGTTTGTTCCACTCATCCACAACTCTATTACCAAACCAGTACTTTCCTATATCCTTCCTGAATCTGAATTTTTCCAACTTAAAACCATTGCTGCGAGTCCTGCTAGGCTAGATATTTTCAGCACAAATATTTACATCCCTTTATTTATTCCTGTCTTCCATTTATACACCTCAATCAATATCCCCCCTAATTCACGTCTTTCCCAGAGAGTGCAGTTTCAGGGCCCTTAGTCTATTTCCCCATAGGGAAGGTTTCTGATACATGGGATCATCTTTGTCATCCTCCTTTGTACATTTTCCAGAGATTTTATATCCATTCTGTAATACGGTGACCAAAACTGTGCAGCATAAACTAAATGAGGCCTAACCAAGGATTATAGAGTTGAAGAACAACCTGAGGACTCCTATTATTTATGCTTTTTTGAAAATGAAGCCAAGGATTCTATTAGCTTTATTGCGAACACTTATGCACTGTTGTCTTGGTTTCAGATTACTGCTAACCAAACTCCTAAACTTTTTCGCAATCCGTAATATTAAGATCTACATTATTTAGTTTATATGTGGCATGGTTATTGTCCTGTCCAACATTTAGAACTTTGCATTTTCTATATTAAACTGCATCTGCCACTTCTCCGACCACTGCATCAGTCTATTCAAATCTTCCTGGAGTGCTCTAATGTCCTCGTCAGAATGAATTCGACGGCCTATTTTGGTGTCATCGGAAACTTGCCGATGTCGCTCTTTATGCCCTCATCTATGTCGTTTATGTAGATTGTGAACAGCAGGGGGCCCACACTGACCCCTGTGGAACACCGCTCGTGACGCTTCCCCACTCTGATTTCTTCCCATTTATGCAAACTCCTGCTGCCTATTTGTCAACCATGCCTCTATCCAGGAAAAAATTTCTCCTCCTATTCCATGTGCTTTAATTTTCCTCAATAGTCTCTGATGTGGGACCCTGTCAAAAGCCTTACTGAAGTCCATATACACAATATCATATTCATACCATGATCTACCTCTCAAATACCTTAGTGAAAAAAGTTAATAAATTCGTAAGGCAGGAACGCCCCTTTGTAAAACCATGCTGAGATTCGTTGATTAATTTATGCTTTTCAAGGTGGCTACGAACTGCCTCGGCAATTATTGATTCCATAAATTTTCCCACTATGGAGGTTAGGCTTATTGGTCTATAGTTCGAAGCTAAGGACCTGTCACCTGTTTTGAAAATAGGTATCACATTTGCCATTTTCCACTTATCTGGCACCATGCCAGTTTGTAGTGATATGTTGAAAAGATTAGCCAAAGGTGTGCTAAGCTCCTCTTTACATTCCTTTAGAACCTAAACCAACCTAAATTTGAAACTACCCAAAGTCCCAGCCTCAATAACCCAACTAGGTAGACTGTTCCACTCATCAACTACCCTATTTCCAAACCAATACTTTCCTATGTCCTTTCTAAATCTAAACTTATCTAATTTAAATCCATTACTGCGGGTTCTCTCTTGGAGAGACATCCTCAAGACCTTATTAATATCCCCTTTATTAATACCTATCTTCCACTTATACACTTCGATCAGGTCTCCCCTCATTCTTCGTCTAACAAGTGAATGTAACTTAAGAGTCTTCAATCTTTCTTCATAAGGAAGATTTCTAATGCTATGTATTAATTTAGTCATCCTACGCTGAATGTTTTCTAACGAATTTATGTCCATTCTGTAATATGGAGACCAGAACTGAGCTGCATAATCTAGGTGAGGCCTTACTAATGATGTATAAAGCTGCAGTATGACCTCTGGACTTCTGTCTTACTTATCTACTTGACGATGTTGTCTACCATTATTATAATGGCACTTCCTTCCGTGTTACTGCATACACCAGGTCAACACTTCCCTCCTTGTACTACATTGACTAGGTCAGTGCCCTCCGTGTAAACCACAGACCAGATCAACATTCCTTGCACAGATCAAATCAGCGTTCCCTGCACAGACCATATCAGCATTCTCTCAGGAGACGGGAACACGTTTACACCTGCTGGACCGTTCCACCTGCTCAACTATCCCACCTGCCCAATATCCCACCTGCTCAACCGTATCACCTGCTAATAGGATTTGTTGTTGACCTATTTCTAGAGTTAATGTTAAATATTGTGGGGTATATATTTAACTAGTGAGCGTAGGTGGGTGGGAATGTTTGTTCAGGTCGGGTCATTCTGTGAATCACCCTCAAATATTTGCATCCATTAAGCACAATGATCGCGGTGTGTTTGCGTTACGTGGGCCGTTTCGTGAATTTGTGTAATGTATGTGAATGATTTAAACCATAATATGAGGCGTTGTTAGTGTTGCGTCATCCGTTTGTGGCTCGTTGTTAGTGTTGCGTCATCTGTTTGTGGCTCGTTAGTGTTGCGTCATCTGTTTGTGGCTCGTTGCTAGTGTTGCTTCATCTGTTTGTAAATGCGTGCCTCATTTACTCTCCCTTCCCGGGAACCATTAGTTGTGCTCACCTGGTTGTTTGCCAGGGGTCGAGTCATAACTCCCAGCTCAACTTTTTAACTGTTTACCGGCTGATTCTATCGAGTTCAGGCTTCGTGTCATATCATACCTACTCTGGCAACTGTGTATGGTGCTCATCTAGAATCTGAATCGTTCCCAAAATTCACCACTAACGTCTCTTGTGATTCACCTCAAGATTCAGAATGTGTAAAACTAGGTGTGGGCCCCACGCTGGTGCTGGATACTCAGACATGTCATATACAGAGCCAGTTGACCCATGCTAGGCAGGGTCAATTCACTATATACCCGTCATACCCATTCATATATCCGTCATACCCATTCATATACCCTCGAAACTCATCAAAGGTATACCAGAGGTATAAAGTTACATGGGAGTTTGTTCCTCTTATCTACAACTCTCTAAATCAGTACTTCCCTGTATCGTTTCTAAATATAAATTTGTCCATTAAATCTATTGCTTCTAGTTTTGTCTTGGTTAGATATTTTCGACACGATATTTACATTCACTTTTTTTCTAACCTTGCATATGTTGCCGATGCTTTGCGGTCTGCGTGTTCCTCCGACGATATGTTGGATGTAATGTTCACTCCAGAATATTTTCCCTCGAGTGGTAGTTACAGCTTCTCACCTCTCATGCTGTACTCCATGTCTGGTCTTCTCTCTGTCTCTCAAATTTGCATGACGTAATTGTTTCGATTAAACTCCAGTAGCAACAGTATATCTGTGTGTGTGTGAGAGAGAGAGCGAGAAAGAGAGAGAGAGAGAGAGGTTTAACAAGAATATGTAGAAAACAGGATACTGTGTTAAGAACATAAGAACATAAGAACGAAGGAACACTGCAGAAGGCCTACTGGCCCACGCGAGGCAGGTCCAAGTCTCCTACCGGCTTAAGCCAATGCACCCAACCTAGACAGGTCAGGTCACATTGACTTAAGGGAGGAACACGGCAACCGACCTGTTAGCACAAGCTATCAGGTCTAACTCACACCCACCCACATCTACTCATGTATTTATCCAACCTATTTTTAAAGCTACACAACGTTCTGGCCTCTATAACGGTACTTGGGAGTTTGTTCCACTCATCCACAACTCTATTACCAAACCAGTACTTTCCTATATCCTTCCTGAATCTGAATTTTTCCAACTTAAGACCATTGCTGCGAGTCCTGTCTAGGCTAGATATTTTCAGCACACTATTTACATCCCCTTTATTTATTCCTGTCTTCCATTTATACACCTCAATCATATCCCCCCTAATTCTACGTCTTTCTAGAGAGTGCAGTTTCAGGGCCCTTA